GGCAATTGCCTGGTTTGCCTGTCCTGATGGGACGCCTCTGAGTGTAGACAAAAACACCACAAATCGTTGATCTGGATCAGTGGCAAAAAAGTCACCAGATGAGATTGGCTCATCACACGTGTGCACCAAAATGTAATAATTATTTTATACTCGAGTCATTTGTTGTATGGTCACTGTCAATATCCAACAAAAAAACAAGCTGAATTTAACATTTATCACCAAAATTTAATTGAAGTTGAAGACTATCTTATCCAGATTTGGATTTGTCCGCCCTAAAAGTCATGTTATGTAACTCAGTAAATGAACTTTATTAGACTGTCGCATCATTTCTGAAACAGATGAAGGCAACAACAATGAAGAAAGATACACATCCATACGCTGGCATGACTACAAAACAAACAGCGAGTGTAGTAATCCCCCCTAAATGAATGGTTGGAGTTGGAGAAAACACAAAGTGAGGGCAGACTGGGATGTGCGAGCTTTATAAAGCACTTGAGGAGCATCTAAATATAGTCAGACATGACTCAACACTCTGCTTGTCATTTAATGGGATGATTGCTTGTATTTTTTTCCACCGGGTTGCCCAGTTGCTAAGGCAACACATTGTGACAAAACTAACCCCAGGAAATGTAAGCGCTCTGGCTGTGAAATAGTATCAGATTCTGTTCAGGTTTTTTTTGGCACACTACTCTGCATCCTACTAGTCATTTGGGCCCTTTGTTGAGTTGAACATCAGGTCTTCCACGTTTCCCTCATTTGCACCCAGATTCTCCTTATCTAAAGAGGCAACACAGAGGAGTGGCCGTGACGTTAACAGCATCATTACATCAACAAAAAAAAAAAGCCCCTGCCCCTGTTGACAGAGCCATAAATCTTTCTTTTCTTTGAGAATTTCATGTGGATAAAAGGTGCAATTCCTATAGGCAGCCTATACCTTTGGACCGCTTGAGGATTTTCCTGATGTTTACCCATAACAATACCAACACCCAATGGTGACCCTCTTATTTGCAATCTATCATGATTTAACACTTTTACAATATGTACCTAAGCTTTAATACTGTAAAGTTTATTTTTACTGCAGCTGACAAATGCGTGTGACAACTTAATCATTTCGGTACTCAAAAACATTCCTTTCGCTAGATTGTGTTTCATAACGATCCTCATCATTCCAGTGAATCCGCAAATTTTGGAAATGACTCGATGATTTGTCCCAAACGGTGCCAACTTTATATTTTTCCCTCATGTACGCTTCATAAAATACTCTAGAGAGTGACACAGTTTTGACAAAAATGTAGGGAAGTGACTCTCACTGTTCGAGGCAGAACGACAGTTCAACTCAAAAGCAAAGTGGCTTTTTGGGTTTTTTTTTTTTTTTGAATCACTGATTGCTACACAAAGTTTAGGAAAAGATGTGGGTTCTGATTGGTTTCCATTGGTATGCTGTGCGTTTTTGCGCAGTTTCCAGTAAGTGACGGCAGCTCCGGCGGTATGAGTGTGCACGCTTGCAGCTGACATTGAGGTCGTCAGATGAAAGCTGCAGACTGTGGGGAACACCCTCAGTTTAATGTGTCTAAATGCTGCCAGAAATAACTAAATGATCTAACAGAGGTGTCCATTTCTTGTTCTATACGCTCTGTTCTCTCACCCTCACCCCCCTTTGGATGTCTTTCTTTTGTTTGCGGTACAGAAAGGAGTGGAAGGAAAATGAAAATGTAGGCCATAAATTTGATGTGGAAAATACTACAACCCCAAGCCACACCAGCAAATAAGGGGAAACAAAGTTGTTCTAATCACCCTTTAGCACTGGTTTCTTTCTTGTTTTTTTTCTCTACAACTCCTATCTCTGATGCCAGAGCAGCAGCCACGATGGAGGAAATAGCGATCGGGATCACCACGTGTTTTCAAGGTGACACAACACTTCTGCAGACCGAACGTGCGCCCCGACACATGTGCCAGCTGATGTCAGTGGAGGAGGCCCAGACAGGGTGTGGGAGGACAAGCTAATTGAAAACAGACACGAAGGGAAGTGATGTTGGGCTGCGTCATGCCGTCGGTTTCTCCTTTCCCTGACTCATTAGGTGCTCTAAATGTAAAGAAACTGATTTCCTCTAATAAATCTCCTCGGAGACCTGACGTTCACGTTGGTTGGACGCTGCTATGACGTATCGAGTATCTCTAAATCTAGTGAGTAACGCTAATGCCGCAGCTGAGGAAATCCAGACACATTTACTCATGTGTGAAAATCTTCTAGTCGCCCCAAAACGTTGTTTTAACCGCCACCAGTGGTTCTGACTCACTGGCAGGTCTTCAGAAAGATGCTGCAGAGTGTCAGGAGTGCTTCCTGCTCCGATGGCCAACTAGTCAGCAGACAAACTTGTCAAGTCTTTTACTGTTTTCAAACAGTAGAGGCATT